ACATTATGAAAGTCCTGGTGCGAGATCGAAGGTACGCCAGCGCAGTTTTGTGTGGCATATCAGTATCCTATTAGCCAGTTTTGACTCCACGATCAGAAAGATCTTGTTGGGGCTTCCCTTCGTCGATACCCACTTCCGGTCTCCCGTTCACACGCAATTCGTGTTTGAAGTTGTGACTCAACAATCAGCAAGACCTTGTCGAGGGCTACCATATGCCCTTTCTCGCTACCCACTTCCAAGGTCTTGTTCACTCGCAATTCGCGTTTCAAATTTTTAAAAATAAATTTGCAAAAATGCGCTAAAAAGGCACTGTAAATGTTGAATTAATTAGGCTCAACTTTTTGCATTGTGTATTATCGCTATTCTGTTCATAAGTGACGGAGATGTCAAAAGGGCCTGCCTTATTTTTTTGGCTTACATTGCCAATTCACGAACTGCGATCTAATTTCATAAAGAATCCACCTGCAATATTTCATCGTAATCGGTCCATCCGTTCTCTTTTAAATCGATGGACATAAAGCCGTCGACCGAGCGATCCGACGATTGGGAGAAACTATAAGCGTCTCTGCAAAAGTTACGGCCAACCATGATATTTTGTGGCTCAATTTCTTAAAATACGAGTATAAGAGATACTACCTTCTGTGTGATGTGCGGCTTGCCACAATTGGATTACTTTTCCATCACTTCTTTCATCATGGAAGGAATTTTTTGGTCACTTTGTATAACAGTTATAACAACGAATATTTATTACTTCTTTTCCGCATCCATATATGAATAGGTAAAGTATTGTTTTCATCACAGAAAAAAATTCGTTGTCGTTGTTGTACGATTTGTGAGAACGAAAATTTCACGGGACAAATTGCGTACATTTGCGTTCAGGGCACTTGGTAACGACATTTATTAATAACAGTAGCACCCTTTACTAAATGCAAAACACGAAAAAGATGCGTGCGCGCAAGCGTAGAAATAACTTCCTTATTTGTGATCCGATCCTATCAAATGTTAACAATATTTAATAATAATAATAATAATACTTTATTATCCTGGCGGAGACCAGCTGTAAGCTGTTTTTCCCAACCAGCAGAATTACAATTTTCTAGAAAATACTGATTGAAAATAACAAAATTAAAAAAAAAGGTATACTATTTCAATAACTTGAGTTGTACGAGACTACATGAAAAGAAAATAAATGAAATCTTAGAAGAAGACGACAGATTGACAAAAATGACAAAATTTCTCCACGTGTGTACATATCTAAAAGAAGTATATAGAAGAATACATATAGAAAGATTAGGTAACAGAAACTTGCTATACTTAAAGGTCTAATTATTATTCATTGTAAATAATACTTTTTACTGTGCGTCTAAATTGATAGATATTCAATGATTTGTATTCATCAGGCAGCCTATTGTACAAACATGCAGACATGTAGGTAAACGAAGATTTGTAGCTTTGCAATCGATGTGCAGGTATTT